TATATTTCTATATATCCATATATATATATATGTATGTATGTATCCACACACCCATCCACCCACCCATCCATATATATATATATATATATATATATATATATATATATATATATATATATATATATATACATATATAGGGCATATTATATATACATAACTATATACGTACACATATATGTATATATATGTATGTATGTATATATATATATATATGTATACATATATATATATATATATATATATATATATATATATATATATATATATATATATATATATATATATATAATGTAAATATAATGTGTGTTGTAATGATAACGTTCAAGACAAAGATCTCTGACAATAAGTTTTGATCAACAATGCTGTACAAACATCACTTCCACTCATCCAAAAACATCCTTGCATAAACCACACTTCAAACAGTCATCGTGGGCGGGGACCCCGAATGGTTCGAATACGTGGTCGACATAGCGGCTGTGTCGGGAGCGTTCGAATCCGTGTGCGCGATTGTGGTCGGGGAAACGCAGTTGAATGAGAGTGTCCAGAGCTCGTTCGTTTCCTCGGGTGAGTCTTGCGTGTGGCAGGTGGCTTCGTCTTCCCAGCTGAATGACCTGCTGACAGAAGTACAAGCTGTTATTGATGATGGTGGTAAGTTCGGTCTGCGCTGGTTCACTTGACTCAAATAAATGGCGGGAAACTGTGTACTTTTTGAGTATATGTGAGATTATTTGCAACCAAAATATACGTTTGTCTATATGTCTGCCTGTCTCTCTCTTTCTCTCTCTCCATTACGTGAGATAAATGTGCATGTATGAGTAAATTGAACATTAAAATAATCATAAATTTCAGGAGGTTGTGCGTGTCCTGGCGACGACGAGGAAGCCTCAAAGGGATGTGCTGGTATGTATTTAATCGTAAGGTTACGGGCGTAAGATTATTTATTCATTTCTGTGGGGTATGGGACTTGGGTCTTGCCCACCATCTTTGTAAAATATTTATTCATACCATACCATTCAACCATTGCATTTCAACAATAATAGCTGCGCAACACACGATCTTTAACAAATTCACTCGTTAAACTTTTTATTTTATTTTTCTTCACTCAGTTCGATTTCAGGAATTATCCGATTCACCAGTCTCTCTTCATAAAAAAATAATAAAGTTAAAGGCAATGGATTTCCATTAGAATAAATGTATATAGATTGTAGATACATATTAAATTGCAAAAAATAAATAAATAAATAAATAAATAAAACATGTGCGAAGTGTCAGGTGATTATAATAAAAAGACTTGGACTTGGAGAATCGGATTCCAGGTGAGTTGCCGGTTTCATCTCTCCTGAGATTGGATGCTCTTAATCTGTATTTTCATCTCACTCCATCCGACATGAAAGAAGAACGCTATTTTGTCTGTTTTACTTACTGATATATGTTTATATTATGTCATTAATCTACTTATCTTTATTCATTTGATAGTGCTTACATTTACAAGGCACAAAGACCCACAAGCAGATTGTGACCCATACTTTGAAGAAAATTAATTACAGATAGAAAATCTTGCTTTGAATTGTTGCATATACAACTACTCCTGATTGCGCACTCAGGAATGCACAGGCACATCATCCCTGTGTAGGTGCAAAATAGTAAAGATTATTACTTTATTATTACTTGACAGTCATTCCCAACAAATTACAGAATGTTCCCTGTCCGTTAGTAGGAAATTATTTCAAGTCTCAGGGAAGAGATTACTAGGTTCTTTCGAATATCGCCTTACTATAGTCAAGCCGATTACGGGAAAATAAAAATTGGCAACTCATCCCGGGCTTAGGAAGTCTCCGATTCCCCGAGACGCTTTTGAGCAAAATAATAATGAGCTGTTGAAGGCAACAGATTTCAATTAAAAAGTAATGGATATTTTGCATATAAGTTTTGAAAATTCAAACATATGTAAATAAAAGTATCAAGATCCACTTCATTAAAATTAGAAAAGCTCCTAGAGAGTTCAGGTTGAGTTGCCAGTTAATCTTTTCCTGTGATTTGACGTCCTAATTTTTTTTTTTCGTTTTACTTATCATCCCTTCCTCCACACCTTTAGTTTTCTCTTCCTTCTTTGGTTTCCTGTTCTCTAGAAGAAAAATAAAAGTAAATTTGCCTCTTTTGATCGGACGACTCATATGCTTACGTGTTATAGAGACTTCCAAGGACTGTTTTGTGTTGCATATAATGTAGAGTGTCTCTCCGGTCTTTTCAGATGGGGAGATGGAGAGGTATTAATCGTAGATAACTTTATATGAATTATTATTATTATTATTATTACTATTATTATTATTATTGTTATTACTACATTAGTTTGGGCTTGATATTAAAGGGCAATTTAAATAGAGATCTGTAAATGATTAGACGTAACAGTTTTCGATAAAAGGTTGGAAAGTAGTAGTATACGGAGACGATATTTTCTTCTTTGAGGTCAATTTGTTAATTTTTCTTCATTATTCTTTATTAGTTATTCAGCATTTTTAAAATTCTGGGGCCAATATTCCATACTTTGAGATCTACTCCTTTTTTTGTATTTCATTAATATATCATTATTTATTTATCTTATTCTAAGGACAATAATCCATATTTTGAAATCTATTTTTTATTGAATTCTAAGGACAATATATATTCCCTACTTTGAACCCTTGTCCTTATTTCCTCACTTTTTTATATCTCATTATTTATTCAGTATTTGTATCATTGTCCTGGTTTGAGATTTTCTTTTTTTTTACTTCAATTGTACCTTATCATCTATTTCACATTTTCTTTCCAGACGTAGGAGAAACTTGTAAATACGACTCAGACTGCGGACTCCGACGAATCTGCGAGGGCGGAGTGTGCCAAGAGCGGCCGTGTTTCCAAACTGAAATCTTCCAAGATTATTACTTTGAATATTACGATTACAATTATTACGGTTTCATCGATTATGACTATGAATACTATGATTATTACTATGACCAAATTATCGATTACGAGTCTTCTATGCCGTTCTACCACGCCTATGACTATTACGTTCAGGATAGTGCTGGGAATAGTCGTTCTATAAAGAAAAAAACTGGAGATTTCAGTAAATTTAAGAAAAGCGGTGTTAAGAGGAACGGTGTTAAGAAATCGAAGGAAGATGTTGCAAGAAATGCAAGATTGTCTTATTATCCTAGTGAAACGGGTAAGTCTCTCTCTCTCTCTCTCTCTCTCTCTCTCTCTCTCTCTCTCTCTCTCTCTCTCTCTCTCTCTCTCTCTCTCTCTCTCTCTCTCTCTCTTTCTCTCTCTCTCTCTTTCTCTCTCTCTCTCTGTCTCTCTCTCTCTCTCTCTCTTTCCTCTTTCCCTCTCTCCCTCTCTCCCTCTCTTCTTTTACCCTCCCTCCCCTCTCCTTTTCCTCTCTTTCCTTCTTTCCATCCCTCACTCCCTCAACCGTCTGTCCCTTCCTTCCTTCCTTCCTTCCTTCCTTCCTTCCTTCCTTCCTTCCTTCCTTCCTTCCTTCCTTCCTTCCTTCCTTCCTTCCTTCCTTCCCTCCCTCCCTCCCTCCCCCCTTCTTCCGTCCTGTCTCCCATCCCTCCCTCCTTCCGTCTTATCCGCCTTCCTCCCTCCATCCTTCCCTCCGTATTTAGCCCTCTATCCTATTTCTATTCCCTTCCTCCCTCCCCTCTCTCTCCCTCAGTGCCTCTCCCGTCTTTCCTCCCTTCCTCCCCCCCTTTCTTCCCTCCTTCCCTCTCCCTTCACCCTTCACTCTCCCTCCCTCTTCCCTAGACTTACCAGACCACCTGTTCCATTACAGGTTGCTGTTCGTTCAGTGAATTCACCTGCAGCGGTTTTCCTACTCTCTGCGTTCCTGGGGACTTCGTGTGCGATGCCGATGCTGACTGTATGAATGGTGAAGACGACGGCCCCGAAGCCTGTCAGACACGTGAGGAATTTCTTCGTGTTTGGGTTAATTTATTGCTGTTGTTGTTTTCCTTTTTTCATGCATTCTCTTTCTCCGTCTCGTTCGCCTCTTTTTGTCTGTCGGTCAGTTTGTTTGTATGTCTGTCTTCTCTTTCTCTCTCTCTCTCTCTCTCTCTCTCTCTCTCTCTCTCTCTCTCTCTCTCTCTCTCTCTCTCTCTCTCTCTCTCTCTCTCTCTCTCTGGATTTCTCGCTTAGATAATTTTTTTATGAATTCACTGGGAAAACCTGAAGAGCTCTCTCTGGTACAGAACGATAGGAAACATGGAAATACATGAACCCTTCCCACAGGTGTTTGTGGCGACGGGCACTTCCGCTGCGCCTCGGGGCAATGCATCGACGCCTGGGATGAGTGCGACGGCTTCAAGGACTGCCTCGACGGATCCGACGAGCACTGCCGAAACCACACCGACTGTCCTGCTGGCCGCCCTCACCTCTGCTCCTCCGGAGAATGCATCGTCTTCCGCTACATATGTGACGGGATTTCCGACTGCTACAGCTCAGAGGACGAGCTTCCCTGCGAGTGCTTCGGGTTCAGGTGTTCTTCTGGACAATGTCTCTCTGACACGATGGAGTGCGACGGCAAAGTCGACTGCTTCGATGGATCTGACGAACTATGCGGCCTTCCCGGCGGGGGCCCATGTCCAGACGCGCGGCCCGTGTCTTGCGGCGACGGAAGCTGCATTGCCGAATCCAAAGTTTGCGATTCGATCGCTAACTGTCCCGATGGATCGGACGAAGATGCCGAGGTCTGTTTTCCGGAGGAGTGCTTCCGCTGCACCTCCGGGGAGTGCGTCCATCCGGAGTACCGATGCGATGGCCTCGACGACTGCAAGGACGGCTCGGATGAAAATGACTGCACATCCTTCTCTTGCAGCGATACTTCCTTCAAATGCACGTCGACTGGCGAGTGCCTGGGCGCGGGGGTCGTTTGCGACGGAAGAGAGGACTGTCGAGATGGAAGCGACGAAGCTGGCTGTGCCGAGGCCTCCTGTCCGGAAAACCAGCCTTTTAAGTGCTCGTCA